TGGCTCATATACGCAACATGGCGATTACAAGTGCATTCGAAAGTTGTTGATAATACCTTACAGGCATAGATCGGGTTATCACATTGACCGTAACTGAGCAGCTTCAAAGTTTAACACGAGTGTTATTTGATGCCAAATGTATCATTCAAGCCTTGAAAACATAGCTTCATTTAATGTTTTAGTTATTACCTATATACGATGGAACATATGTAACCACAACACTCTTAAATATGTGACCTGAGCAAAGCAGGATATCTGTCGCAGTTGCAACACACATGTTTCGAAGAAGGTGAGGATCTATATCTGTGAGGGTGGCTTTGCTAAAAAAATGATTTATACAATGCTTTATATTTCATATCACACAACCTAAAGACGGTTAAATTTCACAATAAAAGTTTCCTTCAAGCAGATTCATTTGAACTGTGAAGAGGTTTGTCTCTTAGTCCAACCAACATCCACCAATCATGTGTTCGAATCCAAGATTCGCCTGTTTAGGATCCTTTGTTAGTAAGATATTTGTAATCGTGGTTTACATGAAAGTGGGAAAATGCGTGCTGCATAGGAACATGAAATGATAGTTTTCAGATAATGTTTATTATCTCAGAAACATTTACACAGTCCTCTTCAAATGACAGTTGCAATCCATAACGTAAACACAACAATATATACATTAATAGTAACAAAGCAGGCCCAAGATGAGTTCAACATTGGACTGCAGTGCATATTGCACAAATTACGCCCTCGTTCTTCATCTGACCACTAATACATTCCCGAAAGTTCTAGACGCCTATCTGGGGAAATGTCATCTGATCGCTTAGGAAGTTGAAGTGGGGTAGATAATTCTGGTAGTATGGAGTTCCGGGAGAGCTGAAGTTGGACTGGTTGGAATACTCTGTCCACTGTTGCGGGCATGGTGTGACTTGGAAGGATGTTTCTGTCATCAGATGTGGGTAGTGGAGTGTATTCTGGGTAGGCCCTGTACAGGATACTGCGTCACTGAGTGCGCTGTAGACGTTGTGTGATGATGGGTACATCAGGGGGTTGTAGACGGGGTCGTAGTCCGTCACTGAGGAGCAGCCGGGTCCAGTGCTGGGTAGGTAGTGGAGGCTGAAGAAGAGAAGAGATTGTTGTTAGTCCGAGACAGACATGCCATTGTGTTGAAGCTAATAACAGCCCACTACGCGCCTGTGTAACTAACTTGGTGTGTACTTACTTTGATTTGGGTTTGTCTTTCACGTCATCTTTCTTGGAAGTCGTTGGTGGTGTGAGCACGTGACACTCGTCCGTAGCCGTTACGTCACGTGACCGTGACGTTCCTTGTTGAAACAGTTGCTGTCTCATCCAGTTCACGTGAGCACCTTTAGACTGACACTTGAACTTGGAACGGCGGTTCTGGAACCAGATCTGTATGGCAGAAAGAGGTCATTATTATAGAGACATTTCATGAAATCAGGGTCTTTTATATGGGTTGAAAAGATTATGAAATGAAATATACAACAATTCTTTAAGTCCAAACTATGTACCATATAAACTGAATAAAGCAGTAAAAGTTAGAATTTCCCTTCAGTACATTTCATGGGTCCTATGTACATTTAAAAGGACAAGAAAGAGAGTTTTATATCACTATGATATTGTGTATTGTGTGATCAATTATCTCTTTCGAGAACTTCTGTTAAGTGTAATAAAGAGGATTTACTTACCGATAGTCTCTCTACGTCGATGTTGATGGTGTTGGAGAGATCCTCCAAAGATGGAGCTGTCAGGATACTGAGAGGACACGAATACCTTCTCCAGTTGCCTCAACTGTGGATATGGATAGTGGAGGTGAAAACGTGTTAAATTTGTATTTCGATTTACTTTTGAAACAACAATGGTTTATGTTTTCTTCCTATTCACGTTTCGAGCAATTAAATGTTTACCTGACTAGCAGAGTACTTGATTCTGTTCCTTGCCGGAACGATTGTCTTGTTGACGGTACACTTGCTTGGCTTGGTTTCGGGGCTCTTCACTTTCATTATAGTGTGGTAATTGTATAGAATACTTTTAAAAGAGAAAATGCTCGAAATGTGAAGATGATCTCGGTGACAAGTCTTGCTGGTTTCGATTAGGGCAGCTCTTTGACTGATGACTCAAGGATGGAAGTTTTCGACTTTATACCCGTACCATGACCATTGCGCTTCTTTTAAGTCAACCACCATACACCACCCACTCATCACTCCCACGTCTGTGTTGTTAATAATCAGGAATTCTTTCTTCATGTATAGCCGCCATGCTGTTTAAGTTGAAACATCTTGATTGTTTTCACAGTAATAAGAACTATATCTTTGTTTACCTAATTAAAACGGTAGCAGTCGTCGACGAGGTAGCGGTACATTAAAGTAGCCTCCGCCAGGTGAGCGTGTACTCACTTACCTGTCAAAACTTTACACCTACATCAAAGAGGCCGCCCTACGTAGCACACCTGTGTGGACACTACGTTTAAATGTCCATCTTGTTTTGTGGCACAATTTCATAAAAAAACAGGGACAAAACATTTACAAATCCTAGCGAGGAATCCTTATAGTGTGTGGAAGGGCCACGCATTAACAATAACCGCCGTCATATAGCTGGAATATTGCTGAGTGCGGCGTTAAACAACAAACAAACATTAACAATACCGTAGTCTTCACAAGGATAACTTATTTGTTATTTTGTGAAACAGTTATGCTCGTTATAAGCTTGAAACGCATATCCATTATATAATTGAACATCTTTGGAATAAGAGGATACAGCAAAATCTCGATGATCATGTATTTGTTCAAAAGAAATAAGGCGCATATATGTCGTGAGCCGAGAAAAATGGTTCCCAACTGTCTACATTTCACAACTTTTGAGGTACACTCGAGCAAGCTCTTTCCACGATGATTTCAAAGAGTGTTCTTAGTTACAACATAAAGCTTTTAAAACGTTTTGTGGTAGACATGTGGATGACATTTCCAAATTTGACGCATCAGTGACCAAATGATGCTTGATACAGTTCCCTTTTTTAACTTGTTTCCTTGGGTTTTTTTCGGGTGAACAATTGACTTGGTTTTGCATGTGTTTCTAACGGGATGCAACCGGGGAAATAGCGGAGCCGGATACGCTCGCCTTTTCACCAACATCTGGTATCATCACTATTTAATGGCGATTAATAGAAACATACTCATGATATGGTCGGAATTATACAATCGAGTGTGTGTTTGACACAAATTCTTAATATGAATATGGAAAGTTTATTTTATTGTCTTTACCCGCCTCTCTTAAGAATTTTAGGTTTGGTAAAAACCTTGCAATTTTCAAGTTACGTGTCCATCATAACCACCAATAACACGTAAAAATTACTTTTCTCTTTGTAGCTATTTATATTTCACTTTATTAACTTCTAAATATTTTACTCTATGCTAACTGAACGGATGTTCCAAGCTATTTCAAGATCACGCTCAGATTCTATATATTCCGATGCATATATTCCGACTTAAGGGATATTATCATTTGATCGAAATATGAGTAGAAGTTGGCTGCCACCAAAGTGTAGAGATGTTTTTGGACTTAAAATTTAGTGAAGACTCACAACCCACATGAAACTGAAAAGTCAGCAACTATATTTACAATTTATAGAGGGATAAGGTGCAAGTATTTCATGGGACGTTTGATGTTCCTCACCTGTATATTTAGCGCCTCACAATATGATAATAAAATACACATTACATACCTAAACTGACACATAAATAAATTGATATATAACATTTGGAAGATGCATATGGTATTATGATAGAAAATCGGATCCTAAATGATGGTTATGAAGAATTTAATGTCAGTATTGATTTGGCAAACTATTTTAAAAACTGTTGAAACTTTTGCCATGTACTTTTTCGTGGTAATAATGCAAATACCTGTAAATGACACCTTAAACTGTGATTGCTGTACCATTACTTGCTTGGCTTTTCTGCAATACAAGGGTCACCCTATAGGTAAATTTCCCGTTTACCAGTCTGTATCTCTCACCATATGAAATAATGAATGGTTTGAACTAGTGGTATATAATGTATGTACAGTACTGATTGACGTAATTTGTTTGTCCGACACGCCTTATATATATGTTTTACGCTCCCAGACGGTAACTTGTGTCGACAGCTGCTTAAGACAATGGTATCCAAAGGAAGCGCCCGATAATCCGATAACGTCAGCATGAAGGTTTGGCTCATATACGCAACATGGCGATTACAAGTGCATACGAAAGTTGTTGATAATACCTTACAGGCATAGATCGGGTTATCACATTGACCGTAACTGAGCAGCTTCAAAGTTTCACATGAGTGTTATTTGATGCCAAATGTATCATTCAAGCCTTGAAAACATAGCTTCATTCAATGTTTTAGTTATTACCTATATACGATGGAACATATGTAACCACAACACTCTTAAATATGTGACCTGAGCAAAGCAGGATATCTGTCGCAGTTGCAACACACATGTTTCCAAGGAGGTGAGGATCTATATCTGTGAGGGTAGCTTTGCTAAAAATGATTTATACAATGCTTTATATTTCATATCACACAACCTAAAGAACGGTTAAATTTCACAATAAAAGTTTCCTTCAAGCAGATTCATTGGAACTGTGCAGAGGTTTGTCTCTTAGTCCAACCAACATCCACCAATCAAATGTTCGAATCCAAGATTCGCCTGTTTAGGATCCTTTGTTTATCAGTAAGATATTTGTAATCGTGGTTTATATGAAAGTGGGAAAATGCGTGCTGCATAGGAACATGAAATGATAGTTTTCAGATAATGTTTATTATCTCAGAAACATTTACACAGTCCTCTTCAAATGACAGTTGCAATCCATAACGTAAACACAACAATATATACATTAATAGTAACAAAGCAGGCCCAAGATGAGTTCAACATTGGACTGCAGTGCATATTGCACAAATTACGCCCTTGTGCTTCATCTGACCACTAATACATCCCCGAAGGTTCTAGACGCCTATCTGGGGAAATGTCATCTGATCGCTTAGGAAGTTGAAGTGGGGTAGATAATTCTGGTAGTATGGAGTTCCGGGAGAGCTGAAGTTGGACTGGTTGGAATACTCTGTCCACTGTTGCGGGCATGGTGTGACTTGGAAGGATGTTTCCGTCATCAGATGTGGGTAGTGGAGTGTATTCTGGGTAGGCCCTGCACAGGATACTGCGTCACTGAGTGCGCTGTAGACGTTGTGTGATGATGGGTACATCAGGTGGTTGTAGACGGGGTCGTAGTCCGTCACTGAGGAGCAGCCGGGTCCAGTGCTGGGTAGGTAGTGGAGGCTGAAGAAGAGAAGAGATTGTTGTTAGTCCGAGACAGACATGCCATTGTGTTGAAGCTAATAAGAGCCAACTACACGCCTGTGAAACTAACTTGGTGTGTACTTACTTTGATTTGGGTTTGTCTTTCACGTCATCTTTCTTGGAAGTCGTTGGTGGTGTGAGCACGTGACACTCGTCCGTAGCCGTTACGTCACGTGACCGTGACGTTCCTTGTTGATACAGTTGCTGTCTCATCCAGTTTACGTGAGCACCTTTAGACTGACGCTTGAACTTGGAACGGCGGTTCTGGAACCAGATCTGTATGGCAGGAAGAGGTCATTATTATCGAGACATTTGATGAAATCAGGGTCTATTATATGGGTTGAAAAGATTATGAAATGAAATATACAACAATTCTTTAAGTCTACCATATAAACTGAATAAAGCAGTAAAAGTGAGAATTTCCCTTCAGTACATTTCATGGGTCCTATGTACATTTAAGGGGACAAGAAAGAGAGTTTTATATCACTATGATATTGTGTATTGTGTGATCAATTATCTCTTTCGAGAAGTTCTGTTAGGTGTAATAAGGAGGATTTACCTACCGATAGTCTCTCTACGTCGATGTTGATGGTGTTGGAGAGATCCTCCAAGATGGAGCTGTCAGGATACTGAGAGGACACGAATACCTTCTCCAGTTGCCTCAACTGTGGATATGGATAGTGGAGATGAAAACGTGTTAAATTTGTATTGTTTGCATTCCCTTTCAAATAACATAACGTTTATGTTTCCCTCCTATTTAGGCTTCGTTCAACTAAATATTTACCTGACTAGCAGAGTACTTGATTCTGTTCCTTGCCGGAACGATTGTCTTGTTGACGGTACACTTGCTTGGCTTGGTTTCGGGGCTCTTCACTTTCATTATAGTGTGGTAATTGTATAGAATACTTTTAAAAGAGAAAATGCTCGAAATGAGAAGGTGGTCTCGGTGAAAAGTCTTGTTGGTTTCGATTAGGGCAGCTCTATGACTGATGACTCAAGGATGGAAGTTTTCGACTTTATACCCGTACCATGACCATCAGGCTTCTTTTAAGTCAACCACCATACACCACCATACTCATTACTCCCACGTCTGTGTTGTTGATAATCAGGAATTCTTTCTTCATGTATAGCCGCCATGCTGTTTAAGTTGAAACATCTTGATTGTTTTCACAGCAATAAGAACTATATCTTTGTTTACCTAATTAAAACGGTAGCAGTCGTCGAAGAGGTAACGGTACATTAAAGTAGCCTCCGCCAGGTGAGCGTGTACTCACTTACCTGTCAAAACTTTACACCTACATCAAAGAGGCCGCCTTACGTAGCACACCTGTGTGGACACTACGTTTAAATGTCCATCTTGTTTTGTGGGACAATTTCATAAACAAACAGGGACAAAACATTTACAAATCCCAGCGAGGAATCCTTATAGTGTGTGGAAGGGCCAGGCATTAACAATAACCGTCGTCATATAGCTGGAATATTGCCGAGTGCGGCGTTAAACAACAAACGAACATTAACAAAACCGTAGTTATCACAGGGATAACTTATTTGTTAATGTGTGAAACAGTTATGAAGTAAGACAAGTTCTATGGATGAACAACTTCTTTATTTCAATTAGTGTTATTACAAGAAGTTGTTCATCCATAGAACTTGTCTTACTTCATCACACCAACTTCTAAATGCCTCTGAAAGAAGAAACAGTTATGTTTATGATAAGCTTGCAATGCATATCCATTTACATCATTGAAAAAAATGAAATAACAATCTCGACGGTCGTCACATAAATATGAATCGTCAGAAAGATACTGAGACATTTATAGACATAGATATATTTCCAAGTCAAGCAATATGGAAGTCAGCACATGACTTCGAGTCAGACAAGTCAACCACTTGGGTTACTGGTGACAGTGAGTCCCACAGTGTCGGGCAGCTGTGTACACTCTGGTACTCAACGTGTAACTGGGTTTGCCTACGGTTCGGGCCAACAACTTGGCAATCCCCCGGCACCAGAGTTGCCCTGTTGTTATTCAAAACATGCACACATCACATATTATATCATCGATGTGGAAATTATGTGCGCACTGTATAGGTTGTTGACTGGTCTTGATTGGGTGACCTGCTGTACCCACAACAAGAGGCAATAATGGTTCTCGCCATGAGTCCGATATTGTATTGATAATTGTATTTAACCTTTTTCTTATATTCGGTTGTTTGGGTTTTTTTTGTTTCAGGAGTTGCAAATCTTCAATCATTGGAGGAAATAAAGCTATATATAACAACTGAAATTTTGGCCAGATCACCTGTGACCGACTGAATAACTTGGGGTTCAGATGATCTGGACGTTGAGATTTCTGAGGAGTACAGTTACTATGTCAGTAATAGGTGAGGTGACACGGGGTTCAAGAATATTGCACTTATATCGCGACATGCAGGTACATGTGTGTGTGCATGTGTGCGTTTGCTTGTGCGTGTGCGTGTGTATGTGCATGTCCGTGTGTGCGTGAGCGTGCGTGCGTGTGTATGTGCATGTCCGTGTGTGCGTGTGTATGTGCATGTGCGTGTGTGTGTGCATGTGCGTGTGCGTGTGCGTGTGCGTGTGTGTGTACGTGTGCATGTGCGTGTGTATATGCATGTGCGTGTGCGTGTGTGCGTGCGTGTGCGTGCGTGTGCGTGTGCGTGTGCGTGTGCGTGTGCGTGTGCGTGCGTGCCTGTTCGTGTATGTTTGGTTGGTTGTACTAGTCCGCACAATGGTCGATTTGAAAGCCTAGCCAACTGAGATACTATGCCACAGTCTAATATGGATAGTTGGATACCCCACTCAGACACGGTATAAACGTCTCTTGGTTTGGCGCGGTGGGAGATCGAACCACCGACCACCGACGCTTTATTCACTATACCACGGAGGCGGTCAGCTAATTTGGTACTAAAAGGAAGGGACAGGGTAGGTTCATCGTCCTTACTCAACTTAACTATGATGACGCACTTAAAACACAACAACAACAAAAGTGCCATCAATATTAAAAAACAAACAAACAGAAATCACATCAGAACGAAAATTGTAATCTTCTCAATACGAAAACAGAACTCTTCTCCATGCGAAACCAGAAATCTTCTCTATAAGAAACCAGAAATCATGTCAATACTGAAATCTCAACAAACATATGTCACCCTATTCGCAAAATCTGTCTCAAAGGGGCGGGGCAGCCGATACTGCTCAGGCAAAATACGACTCTTAAAAACACTTAAGTGAAGAAGAAGTGGTTTTGTAAGGGTTAGCCTTTGCCCTTTGAAATTTGTAACAATTAAAATGTTATCAGATATGTTCATATGACTGACAACTCACTTTTTCTTTCTATCACTTGCAAGTATTGTACTTTATACGATCAAATACAGAAACGTTTTTCGAAGCACTGGAGAATTTGGTTCACAGCTGCAAAACATAAAGTGTATAATGAATAATTATTCCAGATACAGCTAATATTTTAGAACTCATTACCTTTTGAATACACTAATGCCAGTAGTTTGGGAAGTTTTAAAAGTTTTATAAAAAGCAATGATAAGAATGGTATATACTCTGATGTAAATTATGGATCAAGATTCTGTCGGGTTATACACTCCCATCTCAGACCTGGCTGCAGTGATCTTAACGCCGACAAATGTGCCAGATTTATATCCGACAGTCCGAGATGTTGTTGTGGCTATCAAACGGAAAATGCATTTCATTTCTTTCTTACGTGTCCCTTAAACAGTACGTTAAGGCAAAATTTGTTTTATTTTGTAAAAGGTTACGATTTAAATTCAATTCTAAATGGTTATTCACATTTAACGACTGTATCAAATCTTGAAATTTTGAAATCAGTGCACAATTTTTATTCTAATTTATTGCCGATTTAGAGATTTTATCTGAGTCCTTTTTTTAAAAATGTTGGCTTTGCTATATGATACTGCGATGCTGTTGTGCTGGATGTAAATAATAACGTAGCTGTAGTTACGAAAGATAATCGAGTAATAAAACACTTACAGAACAATAACTATCTTTAATGTCAATTATATAATGTATGCTTTTTCTCATGTCACTTTCAATACATTGTAATTTGTATATGTATCATGTTTGGGAGAGGCATTCAGATAAGCAAAATTTGCTTGTTTGCCACTCCCTCCACTTTGCGGAAATAAATATGTTTACATCAAGTTCTGGAGAAAAACAGCTGTTCAAATGTAACAAGTGAGCATTCATATTTTTTTTACTTTGTTTCTTTGTACTTTTTCCGCTACTTGTTGGCTAGACTTGCACAAGTCTCTAAGGTAATGATTATTAGCTTAAACAATAATTTCTATATTATATAAATTATAAGACCAAGTTGCCCCTATAAGAGACTGGCGTCCTTCCCACTTACCAAGACTTGTCTATTAGGAGCATAGAATTACACATTACACATCTATGGACTTATCTTCCAGTACAGCCTTGGAGCAAGGCTACTTGATGGCTAAAACAGCCTTCGTCAGTGATTCAAACATTGACCAAAATAAGCCTGCTACCATTTGGGATCGCATCTTTAAAATGAATAAAATCAATATTAGTGCTGTCGAAGTGTATACCCCCAAATCGGCCAATAGACAAGATGAACCTGTCGAAGGACTTTCAGAGTGGGTAAAGTCAGTGCGTGATGATGGTAATGGTAGAATACCTAAACTGAAAAAGAGGAAACAGAATTGGAATAAACCCGTTCTGTCACATTCAGCTGTCATCAAAAGTGTGACCGCCCTGCATTAAACGTTTGTAGTTGTTCTCCCACTGAGAGGACCTCAAAGAAATATAACACGTCAACGCGAAAGAATAACCAGTCTCGATTATCCGACGAGACAGATTCAATTGGGCGTAAAAGGCAAACTTACAGAAAAAGATTATGTGAACGGATGACAGAAAAAACAGTGATGACACCGGGTGTTCGCGATAAGGTTAGCACACTACCCCAACATAATCATTATGTTAACATCACTACATTAATGTTTGATCAAAGAACTTGGTATCAGAAATCTGCCAATGCCCCGCATCAATACTAGCAACTTTTGTGCTTCAACGCATGTTCAAAGTTTGTGGGGGGCACAGGTGGCCCAGTCGTCTAAGGCGCCGCGATTCGCTGTGCAGAGTTGCGTCCCTTGGGCACGCCAGAAACCTATGATCGTGGGTTCAAATCCCGGTTCGCCCCGATTATGTTTCTAGGGTTTGTCGGCACCCTACCCGTGCTCGTGGGTTTCATCGAATTGGTAAACGTCAGAGACCTGCAGCACTTCGGGCTTTCCTCCCACATTAAGCTGACACGCCGTGATATAACTGGAATACTGTTAAAAGCGGCGTTAAACCCAACTCACTCACTCAAAGTTTGTGTTCAAAGCAGCGTTAAGCCCTACTCACTCATTTCAAAGCACCATACAAATCCGTACCAAGAGAGATATAATGCTGGGTCCGGTATATGAACCACCAAATCCCTGTCTCGAAGATTAACGATAGTCCTTAGTACGACCAAGGAAGGACTTTCTTAATGATTTATGGTTGAGAATTATAAAGCCTGATCCTATATTTATTTCATTCACTCCTGTGGACCAGACAGTGTTCTTAATGAACTGTAACACATATATAAAACCTCCTGCCGCACTTATTTAAAAGATGTTTGCAGGTAGGCAACATTTCCTTACTTAAATTTGTAATCCATTTTTATCGGGTTTTGCAATCCTATAGGTTAAAATTCTTTTATATAAATAATGTTTTTCATTGTCCTTTGTGTCTCATATGCCTTTTATGGCCTGATCGATGTTGTTTGTATTTTATGCAATTTTATTATGTCTAATGTGTACACATACAACATGTGACACAACATGTGTCACAACAAGCCGTCATGGTAAAAACAGTTGACATAAGTGTTCAAAACAAAAGCTTGTACT